TTTTATAAATATCTCATCAAACATGCTCCTGCTTCAGAAAAGCTTATGGAAAGCTCTTCTTTCAAATACTTGCAAGGACTTTTTCCTTCATCTCCTCCAGGTTTTTACCTGGATGTAAACTTCTAGGTGACTCTATTTCTAGTCAAAGAGAATATTAAAATGCAGATTGTTCATTTGACTCTGATGTGATCTTAACGGCAAATATTTATGACTTTGATGGGTGAATAAACAAGTACTATTCCTATGGGGTACAGGACAAACTCAAGGGGCAAGGGGAATGAGCGAGTTTGTGAGTCCTCACGAGCAAATGCTTGTTTAAGAATACAAGACAATACTCAAAAGCAGATATGTGGAAACAAGAGGGGAAAGAAAGGACTTAAGAGGATTTATTTATAAATGGATTAAGGAAAGGAGGTGCAAAGAGAAAGGAGGAGAAGAAAAAGTATTATCTGGCACGTGGCTGGAGGACATCTCTCCTCCCCATAGGTAGCTTCAGCCAAGCAGTGACCAGGTTATAATGGGAAGATGGCCAAAAAAGAGACCTGCCCTACCCTTGTTCAGTCATGTGGGAGCTGGGTTCTTCCTACTAGTTCCCAGCAGCAACCGCTTTCAGGAAGTCAAAGGGTGGAGTTCAAAAAGCTCCACCTTTCAGCAGCAAGTTGGCTATGAATCATCTACTAACTTGGAGATTGTTCTTTACTGTTCCTCTTATATTATATTGGATATGTAAATTGATAGAATCTTTTTTAGGAGGCATATAGCAAAATAACAAATAGACATGGCCTTTGAGAGAGGATTCTGCTTTTAGAATTGAAGAGATATATTCATGCCCAAGGTAAAATATACAGGGTTGCAGTGTTACTTAAAAGAATTAAAACTGGAAATAGCCTAATTGTTCTCAGTTAGGAAATGGTTAAATTACTTATGGTACTGAGAAGAGAGGGAAGTCTATGGGGATGTTAACAAGATGAGGTGGATTACTGAATATGTATAGTTTAATGTTATATATGTTGGAACAAAACACAAAGCAAATTTATTTGCAAATACATAGAAAACACTTAAAAGCATACAAACCATACCCTTAATGAGGATTATGTCTGGGCAGGAAGAATTAGGAGTGACATCTGAAGAGTACCTTTTTTTGTTATAGATATTTCTTTCTCTATTGTTTGAATTGTTAACAATGATAATGTATTACTGTTAATTAAAAATAATTCTCAAGTGGAATTATATGACAAATGATAAATTGAATTTTAATTTCACTTCTCTTTGATGAATGTTATTATTTTGTAGGCAATGAAAACTAGTACAAGAAAACGAAGATTCTCATTTTAATTCAATTACTGTGAGGTGGTGTATGCTTGAGTATGTATGTGTGATGGAGAAGGGAGAACAAGTGAGAGATCTGCAAAATGAAAATTATTTTATGGTGTTGTTGTGAGAAATCAGTGAAATATTGTCCAAAAAGTTCTCTAATAGCCTATTGGACATCAGGCAGTCATTCTATATCATTTGGATTTCCTTATCCATATACCATTCCAAGGTTGAAATCTGATTACAAGTGAAGGTAATAAAGGATTAACTACCTACCAGACCAGTGTTCTGAATTTGATTCTGAAAATACAGTGATTAAACATAATTAGCTGCCCCATCAATTTTTTTTTTTGGACCTGTTAATAACTTGTTTATACTGGTTACTTCATTTCAGATAACTAGAGGCAAAAACTATAGCTAAATATTTACAACTGACTCACTGCAGTCAGACATATGACTTTCTAGGGCTATACTTTAAAGATTAAATGAAAAGAACCAAAGGAGGGGACAGCAAATAGACCATTCAAGCTTTACAGCTCAATAAGGGCTGCATGTGTTACACTGCTTCTTCACACCCGTTTGGGCCTAACAAGGAAATTAAGGCCAAAAGAGGTCTTGACCAACATAAAATTCTGAACAGTCAGGTCTACTCCTGGTCTTTCCCCTTATGCTAAATAAAATCTGGTCCAAGAGGGGTAAACGGGTGGGATGGGGAGTACCTTTTTAAAACACAGCCCCAGTTTTTCTGGTAATACAATGTACCTATTCCAAACAGTCTATATCATATTACATACAGCGATTTGATTTTATTCAGTTAGTTCTGAATGAAAAAAAAATTAAAATCCTAGTTCTGAATAAAAATCCTAGTTCTGAATGTCATCCAGTATCATTTTGGTAAATCTGGGTGTTAACTGGGTTTTTATAATCAGAGGTTAAGAAGCTGTTACAGGGCAGTGAGAAGGGTACCCCCCAAGCCCCAAACCTACCCACTCTAAATAGGTTCTGCCACCTGCCACATAAAGACAAAACATATAAGACATTTAATGGAAAGGAAGTTTAATGCAATTGGTGTGCAATACAGAGAAGACAAAGAATATAATTTCTAAATCAAACACCCAAAGTTACCCATCCACGCGTGGCTAAAAGTCCACCCAAAAGGGATTGGCCCAAAGCAAGGCTGAAAGCCCGCCACAAGTCTAGAGCACCTTCTGGAAGGGACCCATAGAAAAGGGTCAGAAATAGCCAGACAAGTCTGGGAGGAAAAGAGCAAAATCAAAATCAAGATAAACACTGTCACATAGGTCTCTTACCCACATCTGTTTCAGCCAGTCCAGGATCAAGAAACAAGACAAAGTTTCTTCACATGTCTCTCTGCTCTGTGTTCCTCCCTCAGGTCACCTTCTGGCTCTTCATCCTCCCTTCCTTCTTCAGTGTCCTCTTCAGCTTCTCCTCCCTGCTCAGCTCTACCCTCTTTTAGGTAGGGTAGGGAACCTGGAACCACCCTTTTACAGAGCTATTTTTATTATTTTTTTAAAGACTTATTTATGTCTACAAGAACTGGGGTAAAGGCCAGAGGTGCAGGGGACTTACCAGAGACAAAATGGGGAGCAGAACAGGCAGATCCACTGAAATACACTGCTGAGGGGAGCAGCCTTAGTAACAGGAGAGGTCTGCTGTGCCCTGTGGGTCACCTCCCTAGCCAGGGATCAAATTTGGGCTGCAGCGGCTGAGGATAGCTTCATAGTGCTGCGCTTTAACTCTTTGTACCACCAGGGAGGGCCCTTAAGGAGCTATTTTTAAATAGTGATCTGGCATTATCACCTTGAGGACTGAGGATTTACTAAAGAAAATATATTGATTTAATAAACCATTTATCAGACTCTTGATGGCATTATAGGCCTACTAAATTTTGGTAGTGTGGCTTGATGATTCCTAAGAACAATCGGTAAAGCTGAGTTGGAGGGTATTTGGGGACAAATCGACGACAAAATGTGAAAGGCCATGTGCATGACTTTCATAGAAAATACTATGTGGTGAAGTATGTGAAGGACAGCTATGCTGAAAAGGGAAAGCGAGGGCAGGGGCAGATCAAGGGCACCAGGTGAGAGGCAGTTGGTCATGCAAGCTTAACCGGCAAAAATACACGATGTTAAACTAATTACAAGAGTCTGCGTTTTAGTTTGACGGAGGGTTGGCTGTTGAAGCAGCCAAATTCAATCCGAAGAATCACGGAATAAAAATTTTTAGGAGCCTTGCCTAGAACGATGTAGGTATCTTTTCCAGGAGTTTTTCTCAAAGAACCTAGAGTGCACACCCGCGTCTCTCCCGGCTATTCTCATCCTCAATTTCCCCGCCAGCCACAAACCCAGGTCTTTAAATAGTTCCGAGAGGTGCGGGGCCTAGAACTGAATTCGATGTGTTCTTTACGTTCTTTTTTCCACCTTTCACCGATTAAAAACCAAATCTGACTATGTCCTCCCTCGTGGTGGAGAGCCCCCAAGAGTGAGGGCGGGTCCAGATGCCGGCGGGCTCCTGACCCGCAGGTTGGCGGGACCCGGAGGGGGCGGGCCTGCGCGGGGTTGGGGAAACCTAGCGAACACTGCCGCGCAGCGCGCTCAAACTCGCGCCGCCAGCAGCTCCGCGCTGGGCCCCACCCTCCTCGTCACCAAAGGCGCCCAGCCAATGAACGGGCCGGAAAGGTAGGGCCTCGGGCTAAGCACTGGGAGGAGACTTCGAGAGGGAGACGGGAAGTGGAGGGCGGACTGCGCTGATTGACAGCTCTCTCGAACCAATCCTCCGCGCGGCTTCTCTTCGCTCTCTTCTCTGCTACGCTCTGCTCTTGGTCCCACCTCCTCCTCCTCCACCCAGCTCCTCACTTCTGTCGACCCGCCCCACATCCCCTCCCCCACTCTGCGGGCAAATCGCTGCTGGAAAGAGGCGGGGGCCGAAGCGGCGGGCTCGTGTGGATCCTTGAGGTGGGATTGACGGGCGCCTTGGCCAATAATAGGTAGGTCGATGGCGCGGCTGTGCCTGGAGCCGACCAATGGGCTAGCGGGCTGGGGGCGGAGGCCCAGGTTCCAAACGCTCCGCGGCGCCATGGGCTGAAAACTCAACCGAGATGGAATCTCCCAGTCTGAACCGGTTTCAACCGGTTCCGAGTTTGAGGCACTAGGAGGAGGGGGAGAAGCGGCTGCAGCGGCCGCGGCAGGAGCAGCGGGAGCTACAGCATCAGCAAGAGCAACAGTAGCTACAGCCCCGGCGGCGGTGCTTGTTCCAGTCTTTGCTGCTGCAGTCCGTGCAACCACCCAGAGGGGGAGGGGGGAACCACCAGTCGCTGAGGAGCAGGAGAAAGGGGGAAAGTTTAGGCGAGCCTGGGTGGGGGGGGCCCAGCGCCGGAGCCGCGTGAGAGGGAGCCGTATTTTGGTAGGGGGGAGTCGGACTGCAACTGGCAGCAGAGCATCCCCCGGCCGTGTGGACTCTGCACCCCCTACTCCTGCCGCTCCTGCTGCCGCCTGTGGCTGGAGGGTCCCACTGGGGCTGAATCTTTGGGACTTGACCCCGTTCCCCTCCCCCTTCCCTCACTCCCCAGCCGGGCGGGAGCATTTATTCCACAGATTTATTTCCCTTCTTTTTTGGGGGGGCGGGTGGGTGTGTGTGTGGGGGGAGGTGGCCCTGAAATAGTAAATATTGTTGAGTTTTTTTTTTTTTGCCCTTACCCTCTCCGTTTTTTTAATTTCCTTTTTGAAGGTGGGAAAACTGTGAAACCCACCTTGATTTCCTCCCCTCTCCCCCTCCCCACCTTCCCTCGCCCTAACCCCCCGACAAGGAAAGAAGAAGCTGTTGGTTCAATCTCTGGGTAAGTCTTCAGTGTCTTCTGGGCCGAGGGTCGGGCGGCGGCGCGGCCGGGCGGGAGGAGGCCGGCGTGGGGCGCGGCGGCGACCGCGGGAGGCGAGCCCGGGAGGCGGCGGCGGGCCCACAGCGGAGCTTGCGATTGAATGGAGCCGCTTCTGCCGCTGGGGGATGGAGGCGGGGAGGCGGCCGCGGGAGGGGAGCGCTTGCTGGGTCATTCGCGTGTGCGGGTGGCCGTGGGGCTGAGCGAGAAGCGAGATAGTGAAATGGGGCCCCGCGCGGGGGTGGAAGGGCTTCCCCAGCCCAAGGGGCTGGAGAGAAGTTGGGGCGATTTCGGGAACATCTCTGTAAATTATTAGGAGTGGAAGTTTCCAGAAATATTTAGTGCAGCAGCATTGAAACGTCCGCTTGCATCACGTGGCCCCTCGGTGGAGAGCTTGGGATCGGGGGAGGGAGGGGCTGCCGAGTCTCTGCTCCTTCTGTAAGGAAACTCAGAAATCTTTGTGGCTTTCTGCAGGGCAAGATTAAAAGTAGAGGAGGTTAGTTGGTTTTTCAGGGGGTTCCGTGTTGGAGTTTGTGTGGTGGGGACGGGGGCTTCTGGAGTGGAAGTGAACGAATCGTTTGCTGCTGGCCTTATACCCTGGGTGATGCCCTGATTCTCCTGGATTCCGATATTTGAGTTTGGGTTGGGTGGGAGGAAGTGGTCGAGTAGAGGAAACACCGAAGATTGGCCCGGCCCGGACCTCCCTTGATCACGCAGAGGCCATGCTGCATAGAGAATGGGGCGGTGAACTTCAGGCGCCGGGTCTAAAAGCCTCCTCCGAGTCTGGGCGGGGTGAGTGCATGCTCCAGTGTGCTATAGTTAGAAGCGCTGCACCCGGCCGGGCGGGGAGCTAGGGAGGCGGGCCTTCGTGAGGTGTGTTTCTACTGAATGAAGCAGGCAGTTGCCCACACACCTAAGTATAGCAGTCTCCTTGTAGCGACTTGTTTTTTGACCTGCTTGTAGTTATCATTAAGAAACGGTTATGATTTTCTGGGTTTGGGGTAGGAGCTGGCAGTGTGTGGCCGCCTGCCTCTGTTTGAAGTGGCAGTGAAGGTATTTTGGTAGTCACTTGTAGAGTCGCCGCATAGCTCGATAATCCCTTGTATTATCGCTATCTAGTGAGTGGATTTTAAGATTGAGCGTCCCAAACAGAAAAGGGACTTGTGTTTTCATTCTCCCGCAATGGTGTTTGCTCTCCGCCTGATGGTGTGTTTTAAGCTTGTGTAGTGGAAAGAACGTTTTTTGGAAAGGGTTTGATTTGAGGGACTAAAAGTGCTTGGCATTGACCAGAAAGCCGCCATTTCTGTATGTACGGTTCGCGAATAGGTAGGTCATTTCGAAGATAGCCGCTGATTCTAAGGATGGCAAACTGCTGTATTTAAATGCTTCTGTTCTAAGATTATTCGTGTGAAGTTAGCGCGAAGAGCTCTATGAAAAATGCTCATGAAAGTAAACGTTTTTAGTCATTTTGCTAAGTTCGTTCTTTCTTGGCTTGGCTATTATTATGTTCAGTAGGACTAAATCTTTTCATTTTAACCAGAAAAAGCCCTAAAGCTTTTGATGTGTGCACGTTAGTGCTTTGTCGACCTTGTTTTGCTGTCCTGATTTTTACAAGTATATCGATAAGTTTTGTTGTGTGTATTATGCATGTATGAAAAACACGCTTACTGTTATAAAAGTTTGAAATCTCATTAGTTTTTGTTTTCAATGATAAACTAGAAGATTTAAAGAAAACTCTTGAACTGGAAATTTCTCAATTTACATTATATCCAACTTGACTCAACTATTTTGTTGTGACTGACATCATTAAATCATACATTTACATTAAAATTGCTGCCATTAAGAACATTTTTAAACCAGTCTATTAAAAATTGCTTCATATAGTGCAATAAATGATCCCTTTTTCCTATCGAGGTAATGTGTCCCAAGGAAAAGTGAGGAAACTAGTCACCCATTTCTTGATCCTGAAAAGTCTCTTAAGAAGTGAAGAGGTGGGCATGGCCATCTGACCTTGTGAGGTCTTAAAACTGGAAACTAGGAGTTCTTTATGCTGGACTTTTCAGGGTGTCTTGAGTCTTCTGAATTGTGTGCAAATTTGTGAGGTTTTAATTTGGGAAAGAGCTATCATGTTCCTCCACTGTAAGGCATCTTGGTTAAGGAGTACTGATTTAACTAATCAGACTTGAGTGTCACTGGCTTAAAGGAAAAGGAAAGATTTTTACAATGCTGGACAACAAAGCTGTGGGTGCCTGCCAGTCTCTTGGTGTAGAATCCTTCTACAGGGTAGCACTGCATAGGAACCAGTAGGCTTTAACCCGAATATTAGTTCAGGTTAAACTCTTTTAACCTGTAAAATAGTTCATTTTTCTGTTACGGGACTTGTTTTATTTGGTAAATAGTTGGCAAACTTTATATATTGCCAATGAATACCTGAAACGTTAAAAAAAATTTGTTTGACTTATTGCCTTAGAGTTTTTCCCCCTAGATTGTACTTTTAAGGAGTTTTTATACTTTTAATCCCTAAATTCATTGAGGGTTGAAAGAAACAAATAATAGATGATTTGAGTATAGAACTTAGGTTCTTTAGAAGGGTTCAGGAAAAGGGTGCCAAGATTTTGTTAGAGTTATGGTTCCTACTCATTGCTAGTGTATAATGGGAACAGTTGGATACCTTATTTGACACTATTCTCCCTTTTCAGCATATCTTTAAAATTAAGACTAAATGAGGGAAGTGAACTTTTACTGAAGACTGCTTAGGAAGGAAAGACAAATTCACTTGAACTTACATCTATACTTAAAATTTTGAGATCAAGACTTTGAACCGTGTCAATTTATAGGGCCATAAATTCTAAGTAAGTTTCGTTTTAAGAACAGGTTAGGGTAACTATATAAATGTTAGTAGACTTCTCGGGGAAGGGAACATCAGAAAAGATGACTGGACCATACATAATGCAGTTACAGGGTTAGGTAAGTAACTAGCTTTTGTTATTTGTACTATCTCAGTTATTTGGGTCTTTCAAGTACTTAAGATAGTTATAAGAGTGTGGTTGAATTAAAGTGATTTGAGTAGAAAGTTTTTGACTGATGCTATCAGAACTTCATAGGCTCCTTAAATTTTTTTTCTTTATTTGCAGTAATCTATGCCAGCAATTATGACAATGTTAGCAGACCATGCAGCGCGTCAGCTGCTTGATTTCAGCCAAAAACTGGATATCAACCTTTTAGACAATGTGGTGAATTGCTTATACCATGGAGAAGGAGCCCAGGTAAAGTAGCTGATAAAAGCTTGGTATTATTGCAATGTCACAAAGTTAAATTGTCATCTTCTTAAAAGATACTACCTAGTTTGTGTTAAATTGGAATTGTGTTATTTTAATAAGTGGTCTGGAGACAAAAGTCACATATTTTATGGGATGCTTTGGGATACTATACTTGTTATGGCCTTCCGATTTTAGGAAATCTTTACCCCCTTTAATAAAAGAATTTGCCCAAATGTATTTATATTTTGTAGATATTAAATGCTTTATGTACATATATGTGTTTAATATATTTACAGTTAAATACAACTCCACTTTTGAAACATTTAAATAAATTAGACAGAAACTTGTTTTTAAAATCCAACCGCATTGAGCATCTTTTACACCATTTGGATTTTAGTTCTTGTAAAAGTGATTCTGTAATGTAGGGAATTGATTTACACTTCTATCTTGACTTATTAAAGATGTTGAGTTGATTGTAGTTTTTGACATCCCAATGAAAGGTAGATAAGATAGGAGTGTTTGTAAATTTTTTCTTTTAACTATTTATTTATTTATGCATATAGCACTGGGGTATAGGCCAGAGGTTCAGGGGCAGTGAGAGGATTCACCAGAGACAGTGGGGAGCAGAACAGGCAAGTCACTGAAGCACACTGCTGAGGGGAGCAGTGGGTGGGCCAGGAGAGGTCTGCGGTGCCATGTGGTCACCTCCATAGCGGGCAGGTGGATGGGGATCGAACTCATGCTGAAGTGGCTTTGGCTTCTTAGTGTTGTGCTTTTAACCCGCTGGGCCACCAGAGAGGGCCGTATTTGTAAATTTTAAATTGGATGTTACAAAAAATTGGGCAGTCCTGTATCTACCCTGTGCAACTTTATTTTTCAAAGAATGTTTAATGAGGTTAAGGGGAGTGGCACATATCTATTAGTATAATCTTGCTGCCAAATGTTAGGTTCCTGATAGATAATGTTGTTATTACATATGAAGCTATATGTCTTTGAGACCTTTTTTTTTTTTTTTTTAATGTTTGTTTATTTTGTAGAAGAACCAGGTGGGCTGTGTGTGTGAGAGGGGACTCACCAGAGACAAAGTAGGGAACAGAAAAGGCAGATCTTACTGAAATACACTGCTAAATGGAGCAGCAGGAGAGACAGGAGAGGTCTGCTGTGCCATATGTAGGTTAGCACCCTGGCTGGTGATTGAATTAAGGCCACAGAGGTGATAGTGCTGAGACTTAACCCAGGGCCACCAGGAAAGCTGAGATAATACTTTTTATTTACACAGTTAAATCCTGAATGCTGTCCTATTTTTTTTAGATACCTGAAAAGTAGATAGTGGTATCTTTTATAGATAGTCCAAGAGGCAATGGTATAAGACTATTAACACCTCCAAAAGATATTTCTTTCTGAACTTGAACATTATTAAGTTATTGCTAAGAAAGAATTTAAAAGGGAAAGTCACCATGGAAGTTGTATACATGGGAAAAAATTACTATGCAGTGATTTCTGTATGTTTGTTCCATTTAGACTTTTGGGGGCTTTTGATCATTGTTACTGTCTCTCAAAACAGTCCTCAAAAAGTTATTTCATCCACATTTGTTATATATACATTGTGGTTGTCCAATAATGGTTTATATTCGTTGTGAAACTTTTTAAGCTTCAGCTTCATTCTAACGTGGATATGTGGAAAGCAGCTGCTTTTGAAAGAAAATGTGAAAATGGTTGGTTAAAACTCATGTAGTGAAGTTGGATTAGATTTTTGACTATTAAAAGTATAGGTCTGTAGTTATTAGAAGATGGGTGTTTTAAGTTTTTCACCTCATTCAGCTACTACCATTGTTTAACCAACTTTATAACATTTTAAGGGTAAATGAATTTAAAAAGTGTTGCAGACTTATTACTGAAATGGCTATAATTTTTTATAGTGCAGTATATGTTGTGACCCTGCTTTTTTTTTTTTTTTTTTTTTTTTAAGTTTTTTTTATCCATATAGAATGTGGTGTACAGGCCAGAGCTGAAGGGGCGGTGAGAGAATTTGCTAAAGGCAGAGTGTTAGGGGCAGAACAGGCAGATTGCCTAAGTACACTGCTGAGGAGACCAGCGGGTGGATCTACGGTGCCGTGTAGGTCTCGTGGCTGGGATTGAACTTATGCTGAAGTGGCTATGGCTGGCTTTATAGTGCTGTGCTTTAACACCAGGGAAGGGCCATGTTGTAACCCTACTTCTAATAATGTTTCACAATATGGAAGTTTAATAATTTGTTTTAAATTTGGCTTCGTAAATTTACTTTGTACATAAGAAGTAAGTTAGGAAAATGTTTATAAATGTTTTCAATGTATACAGGAAAAATTTTCTAAAAGAACTTAGTGTATGTTTCATGTGACAATTCAGTTGGATAATGATAATCCATAAATTGTTTACTTAGTTAAAGATGAGCAAAGTGGCCCTCCCTGGTGGTGCAGCTGGTTAAAGCACAGCACTGAGAATCTAAAGCCGCTTCTGCATGAGTTCGATTCCCGCCTGCCTGGGAGTTGACCACATGGCGTGGCAGACCTCTCCTGGCCCGCCCGCTGCTCCCCTCAGCAGTGTACTTTGTCGATCTGCCTTTTCTGTTCCCCACTCTGTCTCTGGTGAAGCCTTTCACTCACTGCCCCTGAGCCTCTGGCCTGTACCCCAATTCTTTATGCACAAATAAATCTTTAAAAAAAAAAATGAGCAAAGTGGTCCCTCCCTAGTGGTGCAAGGGGCTAAAAGCACAGCACTATGAAGCTACTGGCAGCCACTACAGCGTAAGTTCCATCCCCAGCAAGGGTGGTGACCTACATGGCCTGGCAGACCTCGCCTGTTCCGCCCACTGTTCGCCCTCAGCAGTTTTAGTCAATGTGCCTGTTCTGCTCCCATTTTCTCTCTGATGAATCCTCTCACCTCCCACACCTCTGGCCTGTACCCCAGTTCTTGCATCCATAAATAAATAAAAAAATTTTTTAAGATAAGTAAACAGGTTTAGAAATTAGAGTCCTATCTCTAAAAGTTGGGTAGCTTTTAACCTAAAGGTGGAATTTTGCATCTGGATAGTTAATAGGATATTTAGCACTGTGACATTAGGGACTACTGTAATAGTTATAGAAGAGTTATAGAAGAGTTTGAAGTTTTCTTCAGTATTGTTTTTTTTTTTTTTTTTTTAAGATTTATTTACTTATGCATACAAGTACTGTTGTGCAGGCCAGAGGTATGTGAGAGGATTCACCAGAGACAGAAAGGGGAGCTAAACAGGCAGATGGAACGAAACACATTGCTGGAGTAGTGGGTGGGTCGGGAGAATTCCACAGTGTAACACCTTGGGCCACCAGGGAGAGCCCCCAGTATTGGTTTCTAAGTGTCTTCAACTTTTAATGCTTAGCAGCTAAAATATTTCCATTATCTAATTAGTAACAGGGAGGTGTCAGATTTTTCTTAATTTTTTTCTATCTGTAAATTCTAGATTTTTTTAAGTTAAAGGAACTTTAGGTGGGGATAGTGGGATTATGGCAAAATAAGACATTAGGATGCAAAAGGTAGAAATAACTTAGGAGTAAAATTGATTAAAAGAAAAACACGGTTTGTGCACAGATTGAACTGAATGATGGGAAGAATTACACATAGATAGAAAGCTGATCCTGTATAAGACCTGACAAACCTCTGATAGTATCTTGAGGAAATAACTTACTAGGCATGGTTCTTGCTATCCTATAACCTTATTGTTTACTGTTTTATATGTAAGTCTATAGTTAGGTTTTTGTTCTAGTTAGATATCAGTATTTAAGAATTTATAATCTAACACCAGACCCTCACTGTGGAATCACAAGTTTGCTGGTGGTTCATTATAATGGTGTTATCAGAGTACAGAACCATTACCTAACTTAGTGACTATATATTTTAAATGGTACATATTGTTTTTGAGTGATTAATGGGGAAGTCATGAATGTGATGTATCTGCTTCTTGAGAAAGAATTTTTTAACATTATGGCCAAAATAGAAAGGTGCTTTATTTTGCAAGTTAGAATGAAAACAAATAAGGTTGTTAGGTACCTGTATCAGAGATGAGTGAAATAAGAATGCATCTCTCCCCTTACTTTTTTGATCCATTCTAGCTTATTAAGGCCTGATCAAATAAATAAGCCTCAGAGAAGGATGAGACTAAAACAGTGGAGCTTTATTTTTTGCTATAATGTAAGATACAGAAATAGACTAAAAGAAAAATCAAGTTGAGCTATGTACGGTTAAAAAAGCTAAGTTGTTGCTTTTGGGGGGGTGAGCAATAAAATTCAAAGCTTTTGATAATATGTGGCATTTCAGTCATAAGTAAAACTTTAATGGTTTATATGAAACTAGATACATAGTGTCAACATGGGTAGATCTTTAAAACTCACTTGTGTCAGTCATGCCTCCCTAAAGCTTTTAGTGGGGGGATAGCTATATAACAGGTGAAAAAGAGAAATTGCAAAAGACTGCAGTTTGTATTCCATAACATACTCTTCAAATAAAATTTAATCACTTCACAGTTGTATATGAAGCTTATACACATTCTGCAGAAATATGAACCAAAAAAGACACAAGTCATGAAGATGATTATCACTAGATAAAGGAAATGACTGACACTGGAGAATAGGTATAAAACATGACTTGTGTAAGTTTTAGATCTTTTAGGTTTAAAAGAAAAATACAAGAATAATAAAAATGTTAGCATTTGTTAAATATAGGTGATGACTACATAGTACTTTCTTGGTTTGCATCTTTTAAATATGAAAACAAAAAGGGGAGAGTTTCAAAATTAGATTTAAATAGGAAGTTAGATTTTTCAGAGGATAGGTGAAAAGGTATGTTAACAGTAAATTTAAAGGCCATTTTTTCAAGTCAGAGACTTGAGGTTTTATATTTAGCTGTAGGATTTTGAGATACATGTTCTTGCTTTGACCTAGTTTTTCCTTTGTCTTCTCATGAAGTGAGCTTTTCAAGTTTGTTAGGGATATTTTGGTGACTCTTGTAAAGCAGAGTAATATATATATATATATAAGTGAATGAGAATTTTTGTTTGCTCCTTTGGATTAATTGTAAAATTTGAGAACACATTTACATCAGTATATTTTCTTTAACATTTGTTGAATTTAAGTTCTGTTTTAAGATCATGTAAGGCAGATTGCAGGAGAAAAATCTGGTTTATGGAATAAAAATCCCCATATTTAATTGAAGCTTGATAATTTGAGCAGTGACAACACATTTTTAATGATTTTAATGATTCAAAATAACAAGTGATCTTAAAATTCTTTTTGTATATTATTTTAGCAAAGAATGGCTCAAGAAGTGTTGACACACTTAAAGGAGCACCCTGATGCGTGGACAAGAGTTGACACAATTTTGGAATTTTCACAGAATATGAACACGAAAGTAAGCAAGTGGTGGTTTTAAAATCCATTATTTCTTCTTTTCTTCCAGTCATAAACTTTGAGGAAGGTATCTCATTTTTAATATTAGCATTTGTTTATCTCAAATCCTTTAATACTGTTAACTAATTTCAAAATTTAGTCTTAAACATAGAATTCTTGCAAATAGTCCTGAGAATTATGAATGAAGTTTTGTAATTGGGACTAGTATGCAAGGTGGCTCTTTTTGTTGTTTGTTATTTTTTTTCTCTCTCTTTCTAGAATGTGTATAGATTTAAGTAGAATAAATTCTCAATGTTATTCAGAGACGAAACAACATTAGAGGAATTATTTTGGGCAAGTAATCAATATAATACAGGCTAGGCACCTCCAGCACCAAGTTGTATGGGCAGCGTAAAACCCTACTCCATGGTACCAATGCATTTAATGGGACAGCACTCCGTTTTTATTTGCAATTGAAAATGTTATAATTCAGGTCCTTTTTTCTTAAGTTTGAACAGAAGGGTTGATCAAAAATGTGTTTTGACTGTTTTAGACTTGATGATTCACACTTTTCTTTAAACTGCCTTAAAGTAATAAATACCATGCATGGCATTCTGTTTAATACACACAAGGTTTCCACTTGTTATACATTGTGTTAAAACAGAAAATAGCCATGTTCACATCTGTTTCTGAAATCAGACTGTATTAATTAACAGTTTTAAAATATTAATTAGTTTTGACATCTTGTAAATTTTAGGGCAAAAATACGGTCCAGAACTTCCTCAAAGTGCTAACCTTAAGTAACTTAACAGTGTTTGCCTGTTTGCTTGCCTGGTAAATTTTGCTTTTTATACTGACAGACATTACTAATGTTTAAGTTGATTTATCAACAGTATTTTTAAAAACTCAATTTTGTCTTGTGAAAAATGAGATGATTAGAGGAACAGAAAGAAAGCAACAGGTAAAGAATTCTTCCATTTACATAAATTACAAATGATTTGGTGCTAAATTTATGCACTATGACATTTGGCTTTGATGCAATCATTTTTTTTTCTTTAAAGATGTTAACACTACCTGATATTAATCATAATGTTCCATTATGTTGATTGCTTGTAATAGGAAGAAAAGGGGTGTCTTCCTGTGCAACTGACACAGCTAGGCTTTGACGGCAGGCCTCCACAAGGTCTACCCTTTTGATTCCCTTTAACTGAATTCTGTTCATCAATTGTTTTTGTTTCATGGGTGGTGGGAGGGGAAAGGGGGAATTCAATGCATAAAATAAGTATTTCTAAGGGCTCAGTAGAAATTTCTACCATAGGGATCATTTCATGCATTTATTTTTTCATTTAGTCTTTGCTGTTATCTGTCCCTCATCTTCATAACTCAGCAGTGGATTTCTCAAGTCCTGAAATGTAATCTTTACAATGTGTTTGGATTACTTCTCAGTATTTCCAAACTAGATATTTGCCTTCAGATTTTGGACCAAAGTATTCTTATTCAAAGAAATGTGAATTCTCTCATGTAGATCCTTAAAATCTAAGAAGTTGAGTTTTAGGATATTATAGCGATAATATATACCTTATAAAAAGCATTTATTGGGCTTCCTATTACAACCCTATTGACAATAAGATGAAAATATGGATTGTATTTAGGCTACCTTTTTACATTTGGAGAAAGAACTACTGGGAGTTAATAATTAGGTAACAAAGTATCAGATATGAAGTAAATAAGGAATGTAACATTAAAGAAAGGGGAAGTATTCAGTTAAAAGGTGTAAAATTGAAAATAATAAAATAATGAACGGTAAAGTCATTAAGGTTGTTAGTGGTATATTTTTGATGGATTTTCTTTCTTAGGCTTTTTTTTTCCCTTGATGATCTTTTAATAGGTTGAACATTTTCAAGATGATGTATATTCCCTGTAGTAAAAACATTGTCTTAATAAAATTTTGATAATCTGATTTTATGTCTATATAATTATAAAAGGTTTTTAGAGAAATGTGGGGGGTTTTTTTGTTAATTTGAAATTCTAGCTAATCATAAATGTATCCTTTTTTCTCTCATATTTTTCTGAGACCTAGACCATAAAAAGGTATAAATAGGGGATAGAAAGCCTCACTATTTACTGCTGGTTATGAAACCTTTTAATGGCATCAAATTTTAGAATTTTGCTTTGACTTAGTTTTCATTTTGAAACTCTCTTAAGGATTATTTTGCAATTGTAGGGTTTGAGTTGAAATTATGAAATTTTCCTGAAGTATGAAATGTTAAAATGAAAGAAAACAGCAAAAACATTTACTGTTTGAGCACAATGTAGTTTGGGACAGTCTATATTGTGCTTTGGATAAAATGAGCATTCACATGATCCCTTTGGTTGAAATACTAATAATGCTCCTATTTTATTGTGTGATGACTAACCATTTTAAAGATGAACTCTTATTCTCAGCCAAAACTTGCAATCTGAGGTTATATGACTATGTATGAATGAGTTTACCTTTCAGGTATTGTAGCTGATTGTTCCCTAATTCATCCAGTGAAAATAATGCCACAACAATTTTGTCCTTTTCTTCCTCTTGTCTATCCACACTAATTGGTCATGGTAATTATTTTGGGTAGTAACTCCTGGAGCATTGTAAATTCTTATAAATGTTGTTGACTATTTAGAGTGAGTAATCAACAGGAGGGATAAAATGACTTGAAAGTGGTGTCTGTGTTTATTAATTTTCATAGGAAGGAATACCTGAAAGGTAGATACAGATTGCAACATGCATTTGTGTATTATTTTGACTGTGCACAAAAGTTTATCTTTAAATTAGTAGAAATAGCAACTTTAAGGGTGGGATTAAAATTTAAAATACACCCGTGGGCTGTCTTGCTGCTCCTTAAGTAACACACCAGTGATGTTTGTAAACGCTTTATTTGGAAAGTATCTGTGACAATACTTTAATACTTGGCCAAAAGCTTACAACTCCTAGAGGATGGTAGGAAGCTTGAGAGCATCCAAGCTGCTAAATTCTTAGGAGCCTGGTCGTGTTAAAGTACGTGAGCCTATAAGCAGTCATTTATGCTGTGAATTCATACCTGGCTGCTATTTTTTCTTCTACAGATAAGCCCATTTGGCTGCTAAAGGGCTTTTTATTTGTTTTTTCCTACTGGTGTGAGCATGTATAAACAGCAGGACATTAAATAGAGTAGTAAACAAAGTAAGGAAAATGCATGAAAACTCAGTATATGGGTGAATAGATCCTTGTTTAATATTTGTAATTAAACTTGGTAGCATAATGTTTTTGAAACTTTAGATGTAAATGTGTGAATGTCTGTCCATTTGTGAATCCTGAAAGTTGCCAGTCTTGTAACAATATACTCATATGCTTCTATTCTCCAATTTTTCAGTATTATGGACTACAAATTTTGGAAAATGTGATAAAAACAAGGTGGAAGATTCTTCCGAGGAACCAATGTGAAGGTAGGAAAGTATTTTAAAGAATTGTAAAATTAAATTTTATTTTTCCTGGCAGTTTCAGTTGAGTATGGATGGGGGAGAGGTGAATTCTGAATAGTTTCTTAAGCTACAGTGGAGATTACTGCTTTTATCATGTGGTACAGATTTTACAGAGGGTGAAGGTTATCTGTGGGTGAAGATAGCTGTTTAAATGCTTTGCCATAAATGTTGTGGTGGAAAATGTGTATCAACTAATAGTTATTCTTAGACCATGTCTGAAATGAGTGAAATTTGGATATGTATTCTTAATACTTGTCTACCATTAAATGACTAATATCAGTATTGTAATGCAGTAATATGTAAATTTAACAGCAAAGGAAATACCAACTTTGGAAACTAAGGAGGATTTAACCTTTTGGAAATCTGCTGTATCTTAGGATAGATGACATTTTTAAATATGAGGGCATAGCAGAAAGTGAAGATGTGATGCTGTAACAGTTTGAGGAATGTGGGGTGAAGTTAACACTTAGGAGGGCTAATGCAGTTATATGTAGTATTATTCATATGTGTTACCTGACTTACATCATTTGTTTATCACTGAGAAGTCTGGATTTTATAAAGGTTATACTATTTCTGATGGCTTCTTATATTAAAGTGTGTCCCCTTTCTTTGACTATTGAGTTTTAAGGTATTATCTTTTTTTTAACTTGCTTATCTCTTTGTTAGTAATTTAACTTGGCTTGTCTGACTTATAAAATTTTGAGATCTAGGTAGCGCACTAGAAGTGAATGAGACCTTTATTTATTTATTTATTTTAAAGATTTATTTATTTATGCATACAGAACTGGGGTACAGGCCAGAGGAGATGGTAAGAGGATTCACCAGAGACACAGTGGAGAGCAGTGTAGGCAGATCAACAAAGTACACTGCTGAAGAGAGCAGTGGGCAAGACAGGAGAAGTCTGCCACACCGTGTGGGTCACTTCCAGGGCTGGGGACCGAACTCACCCTGAGGCTGCTGTGGCTAGCTTGCAGTGCTGTGTCCTAATACCATTGCGCCACCAGGGAGGAGCCCCCTTTTTTTATTTTTGAGATAACATTGGTTTACAGTGAATAAGACTTTTTAATGGCTGTATCCTTATATCATAAAATACAGATTATGAATGATAATGCAGATAGCTGCCATATCTGTAGGTTTCATGGTATTACTGTAAGTTTTTACTTTGACATTTCAGATTGCTGAACCTGTTATTTCAGAAGTCCTCCCACCCAAAGGTCTATTAAAGAAAAAATAACTACATAAACCTTCCTCTCTAAATAAGTTGATACATTTTATTTTCTTAGCTTATCAGTGAAATTGTGCATAAATGTTCAGACACTGTTTGTTGTACTCTTGTTGGTTTATCCATAATTTACACCCTTGCCAGTTTTTAGTTGATATTTATGATGAATTTTACATCTCATCTTGGAGAGACTTTGTCACAAATATGTTGATGATCTTGACATTTTTTCCTCAGAAGGTAAAAAGATTTGCCTAATAATCAGGTGGTCATAATTTCCAGCACTTTTAAAAAATAATTTATTTACTGTTGCATAGCAGAACTGGGGTTGTAGGCCAGAGATATAGGGAATGAGAGGATTTGACAGAGACAGAATAGGGAGCAAAACAAGCAGATTTACTAAAAGATGGCTAAGGGGAACATCTGGTGAGAGAAGGAGACCTTTGAGAGAAGGAGAGGCCTGTTGTGCCATATGTGGGTTAGCTCTGTGGCTGGGGATCAGGTCATAGATGTGATATTGCTGAGACTTAACTCCTAGGACACTAGGGAAGCCCCAATTTCTAAACATTTTTTATTTATATGTCTGACTTTGCTAAAATCTCTCCTTTGAAAAGGTGACATAGTTGCCCTTTTAAAGAAAAAAAAAATTAAATGATAGGGAAGAAGTAGTACCTCCCCAGTAAGTCCTTTTATTTCTTATCACATAGGATTATACTAGAGAATCCTCAAGATCTTGTGCATCATTAAAATTATTTTACCAGGCTTAGAATGAAAAATTAGAAGTTAATGGGCTTACCTGATGATTTGGTATTTTGTGCTTTCCATGAGTGGGAGTGATGTTTTTATTCTATACCAAAGTTGCAGTTAAAAGTTGCCATTAGCTCTCATATATTTATATATAAGTAGCAAATACACACATTTCAGGGGCCACACAGACTACATAAAAACCTATATTGTTTGAAAAAATTGGAGGGGGAAGAGTTGGTGATTATTTTGACTGACTTATGAGGATTTTTTTTGTAATTCAATGTGTACCTATTCTATATGACCAAGATAACTTCATTTCTCAGCAAACATATTTTCAAAATATCAACATTACCTTTTCCCTTGCATCTCTCTCTCTGGCTACTCACCCCATCCCCAGTACTAATGATATGTTTAAATGGGCTGTTAACTTTGTAAAAGTACTTAGAGGTCCTTCCCTGGTGGAATTTTTTTTAAAAAGTACTTAGAGATGTCACACACTCAAGGTTGTCATTGTTAGTTACCTTACATGTTGATAAAAGTATGCTATAACTTTACAGTCTTTTATAGACTTAAGTTTTTTTTAATAAAAATTTGTTTACGTATACAAGAACTGGGATGTAAGCCAGAGCTGTGGCATAGGCTTTTTTGAGAATTCACCAGAGAGATTGGGGAGCAGAACAGACAGATGTACTGAAATTCACTGCTGAGAGGAGCAGTGGATAAGATAGGTGAGAGGTCTACTATGCCTTTTAGGTTGCCTCCCTGGCCTGCAGGAAATCAAACTCCGTGCTGCAGTGGCTGGCTATCTTGATAGGACTGTCTTTGAATCTCTTCTTTACCTGGGAAGTCCCATAGACTCTCACTATTAAAAAGTGCATGTAAAATACCCACCCCAGAGTTTGTTAGTAAACTCTAGATTCAGGCATGCAATAACAATTTTTATGTTTTTAATGGTATTTCTCTTGGACAAAAAAGTCAGTACTTTATCAATTTTACTACCTTAAATATAGTTGTACTCGAAAACCTTTTAAATCTTACGATGCATCTCTCAAAGCATTCTAATATTCCTGAAGGTTTATTTTCCTTCATGCATAAGTAACTTTGGTTTATGCTTGACTTGGAGAAATTGAGGGTTTAGCTCTCGACTACTGCAATAAAATGAGTCATACAAATATTTTGTTTTCTTGGTGCATATAAAAGTTATACACTATACTGTAGTCTTTTAAATAGTGCCGTAGCATTCATTATGTCTTAAAAATTAAAGTACATAATTTTAATAAAAAGTAAAATGAGAAAATTAATGTCTTGCTATTAAAACTTCAGATAAAAAATACACTTATCTGCAAAACAAATGGATTATAGATTATCTCTTGCTGTATGTTCCCTTAGTATATCCTATACCAGAAGATCACAGATTAATAGAATTTCAGTGAGCAGAAGACATGCAGATGATAATTAGAAAAGTAAGGAAAATTTTTAAGACATTGTGTAGAAGGTTGGTTTTTTTCCTTTGCAGTAAGGAAGCTATAACCATTATATTTTAATTAATTTACTTGTACTTAAATGTACACTTACATATAACTGTAATGTAAGGTTTTACTACATTGTTCTGGTTTTTGTTTTTGAGACAGAAAAATGTTACAATTTGGTTTGTGTGGTAGAGGAGAGGGTTAGCAAGTGCTCTCCCCAACATAACATTTTTTGTCCTTAGCTATCCTTGTTCTTTCTCTCAATCTTCCCTATTCCCCAAAATATAAGCTTCATGATGGCAGCATTCTTACTGTTTGCATAGGTGTTCAGTATATAATTCAGTTAATGAATGGCTTATCACTCATTTAATATTATCCCACTTCATTACTGTTAAGGGTCTAATGACTATGCCAGTACTTTTTGTTTTATGTATTTGTAAGTGGGAAATACCATTTCCAAGTAGGGAGTGGTAACTATTCACTGAAGTCCTGTTTAAGATTTTCAGTGTTGTTGAATTCTCTTATCTTGGCTGCTTATCAACTTTAATTATCCGGGTAAACCCTACATAAAGTGGAGGATTGTTTTCATTTGTTAAGGCATCTTACAGATCATTTCATTTTATTTAACTTGATCATATTGATTAGGGGAGTGATGAAACTTAAAATTGATAGTCACGATTGGACATTTTAGAAACTGGGAAGCCAAGAAATCTTTGGGCAGGTTTTTGAGTTGTGTGATTATATGTCTTGATTTTTAGAAAGTTGACAAGCCACTGTTAACTACCTGAAAGGTTTTACTTAGTTTAGTGGTTCCTTTGAAATGAGGTACATGATTGCATCTACTAACGTTATGATCTTTTATAAATTAATTATTTTACCTTTTGGTGGAATCTTAAAACATTGAAATATGATAAAAGCAATAATGGGTAGGAAGCTCTTTGTGCCTCCCATGTGAAGTCTGAGTAACCAGTATGTGTATTTCTAGCCTTTTTTCATTAATTAATTGTCTCCATTTTACCAAATTAGCATAGCTTACTCTCAAGTTATCTTGGAAGTTGTGGTGTGACTTCCTGTTTGAAACTCATATAAACTTTTGTGTGTTTGTGTGTCCCTTATGGTAGGTAATGTAGTATTTCTTGAGCATAGAATTAATGTCACTGCCATGCTTCAGATCTCCCATTTATATACATGAAGAACATGTTTGATATATTTTCTATAGATAATACTGACTTGTAAAAGCTATTTGAATTCCCCCCCTTTTTTTTTAGCTTTTATTAAGGTTTATTTAACATACACATTAAACTACTGTATATATGTACAACTTCACTTTACCCTCCTATTCCCACCTCTCTTTATTTGATTATTTGAATCATGTACTGAATGTATGTTTAATTGCTCTACTGTTTTCCTAAAATGATTGTATCATTTTTATATTTGAACTCTGACCGTATATAAATATGCTTCACCTTCTCACCAAAGTTTGGTATCTCCAGTGTTTTCAGTTTAGTCATTTATGTTTGCATATATAA